CTAGGCATTGCCCAATACCTCATTTCAGTGATTTTACTTTGGACAGTCAAATAGCTAGGCATTGCCCAATACCTCATTTCAGTGATTTTACTTTGGACTGTCAAATAGCTAGGAATTGCCCAATACCTCATTTTGGGGCCGCTAAAAAGTTATTAGATGGGACAGAAATGTAGTACTAACAAAGAATAAGTATTCATGTGGATGTGAAAATTTGATAATTCTTTTGGTAATTCTCGACTCCCTCTATAAAATTTGCATATGAAAGTGCCCAGTGCATTGTGSTTAGAGTGGTATCAAATCTGGACAAAATGGCGGAAAATTTCCCGCGAAGTCTTCCATCGGATCAATTGGATTCCTTTACGGCTCTCTCTTCTGAACCTAGCTCTTCTGAGAGCTCTAGTACGATTCTGCTAGAGCCGAATGAGCCACCACATAGTTTATATGTTTCTGATATAGGAATTCAAAACCTTGGGAATAATTTAACCTCCACTAGAGAGCCGCTTCGAGAGATAAACGACAACAATACAAGTCTTGATTGTGGTACAACTATTGAGTGGGGTAAAAGTCTCAAAAATATGCCACCATTTGGAGAGAAACAACTTGACAATCGCCTTATTTACAATGCAAAGACAATGCCTGATGTAAAAGCGCCCTTAGCGTACAGACATAAAATACAAGGTTATAAACTCTGGAAGGAAGGGTATGTTAAAAAGGTTTTTTCTAAACCTGACATTCTCTGTGGGGTTAAACGGCTTTTTATGGTTAAAGCTAATGTTTCTGCGTCAATGAAACAACAGAACTATTTAGTTTACTGTCATCTGGAACAGTTATCCGGTGAAGTAGTTTTCAGTAAATGCAAGTGCAAATGTGGTGAAGGTGGTGTCTGTAAACATGTCGCCGCTCTGTTGTATCAATTACTCGACTACAAAAATCTCGAACTAAAAGAGATCCCAGATGATGTGACTTGTACCCAAGTGCTCCAGCAATGGAGTATTCCGTCCAGCTCTGGTACTACAAAAGCGGTCAAGTTTGAAGAACTAACTTTTGAGAAAGCTGATTACACCAGAGATAAAGAAAACAAAAGGAAGCGTCCACTGGTTCAAGGAAAACGAGATAATTATTGTGCTACTCCACCATACGCAAAAAAGGTATGTATAGTAATTATGAACTTGACATATTGCCATTGGTTTGAATATTTTTTCCTGTGGTGTTTTGGGGTTTTATTGAACATATTTCCTATCTTTAGGTTCAAACCGATGAAATAAAAGCATTATATACATCTCTGCAAAGAAATGGTAAAGCTCAATTATTGTGCAAGACTTTGCTTGGCAATAACTTTGAACCAAACAGCACTTTTCAATCAAGCTGTACAGTTCAAAAGAAAAACCAAGAAAAATCTAGTGATAGTTTTAAAAGAGATTTATTATTTGAAAACATGCCACAGTTGGATGTTCAGCCAAATATTTCACCTGACACATTACAAAAAATTGAGAACAAAGTTGGTGTTAGCAAAGACGAGGCTGTGGCCATTGAGGTCTCAACTAGATGTCAACGACAAAGTAAAGATTGGTTTAAGGAGAGACAAAAAAGGTTGACATCATCATTATTTGGAAGGGTGATCAATCGAAGGGAGAATATTGCTCCTGTATCAATTATAACAAGCATAAAGAAAACAAGTTCTTCATTGTCTAGACTGACCCCTTCATTGAAGTGGGGAATTGATAATGAACATGTTGCTCTTGAAATGTATACGTCCAAGAGTGGGGAGGAAGTAGCTGATTGTGGATTGATCATCAACCCTTCCTGGCCCTGGCTTGCATGTAGTCCAGATGGCATTGTTTACAGGGAAACAAATCCAGTTGGAGCCATCGAGATTAAATGCCCATACTCAAAAAAAGAAATGACAATTGAAGAATGCTGCAAAGATTCATCTTTTTACTTGAAGAAAAATTCAAGTGGAGTTATTGCACTAAAACAGTCACATGTGTACTATTATCAGTGTCAAGGTGTTCTCAACATCACAGGTTTGAATTGGATTGACTTTATTGTATACACAACAGAAGATTTTTTTATTCAGCGAATACACAGAGATATGGAGTTGTGGAAATCAAAAATGCTCCCTAAGCTAACATTTTTTTATTCTCAGTACCTGTTGGATTAGTTCAAGGATTACAACATTTCCTTTGATGATTGTTCTTGTAAATGCAATAATGGATACTAATATAGATCACTTTATAGAAAAAATATAGAACACTTAAACAAACAATTTATAGAACATTTTAAAACACAAATGTGAAAAATTGTTTTACTCAAGGGAATGTAAAAATGCATGAACAGTAGACTGAAGAAGAAGGCCTATCAAACATTGTTTCTTTACCCTTGAGCCAAGGGATGAACTGATTTATGTTGAATATTCTAACTTACTGTAATAAAAGTTTATTGTTTTCTATTATTAAGTTTGATAGTGAGGGAGAAACAAAGCTATGGAATTAAGTAGTATTGTGGTGTACTTTTGTATATTACACATCATTACATCATTTGATTATGATTACATCATTACATAACTCTCTATTCACTTTCTGCAATGATTGGTGGCATTAGATTACAAAGGTATGCACAAATTACCCATATTTTGTTTAAGTCAGCTGCCATTGATAATGGGAATTCCATTTTCAAAATTCTAAAACATTTAATTCTTCGAATTGCCCGTTCCACATGTATGCGTAGTGCTGCAATCCGCCTCGTTTCTGTTTCCTCCTCTAGTGAGAAATGGTCTTTCTCTCTCAGAAATGGTGGAATATTAAGAGAAACATTCTTTGGAAGAATATCCTCAATGTCAAATCCCTTATCCACCATAATACTATCACCCTCTTCAAGTAAAGGAAGTATTCCACAGTCTCTAGTAGCCTCCTTATCACTTGTTCTTCCTGAATATAGATCAGAAACAAATGTAATCATTCCAGATGGTGCAATGCCCACTAATCCCTTAGCAGTATTATGATGTTTGTAATTTGAGTATGTCTTGCTTTGTGATCTTAGGGAGCTTGGCATTTCTATAAACAGTTCGGTGCAATCTATTATGACTCTGGTTTGGGGGTAGGAATCCTTAAAGCTCTGAGGCATTGTCTCATTTACAATTGACCTTGTGGGCCATATTGGATGACTTCTAAATCTTGTGTGTAAGAAATCATGCCAAGTTATGCAGATTCTTGAAACATGGGATGCTGAAATTCCAACTCTGCAAGCTAAATCATCCTCTAGTAAACCACATCTTAGCCTTGTAAGAACCATAAAAAATTCCTGTTCTGCAGTGAGTGTCCTTTTCCTTCCCCGTTTTCCCTGAAGATGGCTAGTTAGTCTCTCCGAGTTGGTGTTAGAGTCATAATAAATCAGGTTTTCTACAGCAGAACCAAAAGAATCAAAAATGCTTTTAAAGATTGTGTAGTCTTCAAGCCCAGTATAAAATTTCAACATATTTGCATCATCTTTAAATCTTTCGATTGTAAATGATTTCTTGAAAACTTGATTCTCAAGATTCTTCACTTGAATTTCATAACTTTCCTTCAAAGACACTAGTTCTCTTTCAAGTTCCACTATTCGTAAGGTTAATTCCTCAATTTTTTTCGTGCAATCTGCATGTATATTAACTTCTGGTTCAATATTGTCACTTTCATAGTTGAAGGAATTTTCAGTCGTTTCAAGATCATTGTTATCACAGCCAGATTGAGAGAAATCCGTATCATTTGGGTTCAAAAATTCACGATTCCTTGCACGTTGAGTTGGACGAGGCTTCGAGACCTTTGATTTTGAATTTTTTGGCACAATAGTTGGAACATTGTTGTCGTATGTTTTGGCGCCACCAGGAAAATGGGCTGAACAAACACGGTGATTAGGGCCCGGTTCAAAGTTTTTTCGACTGACCAGGAAGATCCATCTCTTTCTTAATTGCTGTTTTTCTTTAGTATGACCGTTGGGAAATCTATAGAAGTGCAAATCTGTGGGTTTTTTTTTTGTTATTGTTGTAGCACCCGGGAACACAACAAGTGTATCCGCCACGTGTCTTTTGCGCCTTAGCCTTAAAGCCATTTGATGACGTTTTATCTTCAAAATTAACGTTCTCTGGATGTTTGGATGTTGGCTCATTCGGCTCAGAAGAGCTAGGTTCAGAAGAGAGAGCCGTAAAGGAATCCAATTGTTCCGATGGAARACTTCGCGGGAAATTTYCCGCCATTTTRTSCAKATTTGATACCACTCTAACCACAATGCACTGGGCACTTTCATATGCAAATTTTATAGAGGGAGTCGAGAATTGGTTAAGTTTCCGTAACTTGTGAATCATTTAGCAACTAAACTAGAGCACAAGCAATCATTTCATGACTACATCGACAAAATTAGGAGGCTTTTTAAAAAAAAAATCTTAGTGTTTTTTTTCTCGTTCGAATGTATATAGTTTTTGGCATAGTGATTCGAGCACACGCCCACTCATCGTGCGCTACTGCTTTCTTTCGTGTTTGCGCAGATTGAAAAGGCAATCCTAGTTGAGATTCATGTGTCTTTTTTATTTAAGCACGCATACATAAAAAGCATAGTGCGATATTGGGTTAGATTGAGTATATATGACAATTAGTTTAACTTTTTACTTAATGGTTGGACATTTTTTAGCATTGTATTACCGTCTGTCATTCGTTTCAGAACAATCGTCATTCCTGCTGACGCGTTTGACTCAAAAGTTCAATTTTTGAAAGAACTTAGACAACGATTTGGGTCAGGAATATTGAACTTGGGGGGAGGAGTGATCGGGAGTGTGCTTGCACATTACTATACATTTTGTAAGCAAGATATATTGTGCCCCTCTCCCGAGTTCTTCAGGGCCAGTCATCTTGGGTACCAAACTGATGGATATTGGCTGCTATCAAAGGAAGTAAGTTACGAAATTACCATGCACCTGTTCGAAGACTTTTATATATATTATGCGTGTTCAATTGAAATGTGTGTTTTTTTTTGTGTTAAAAAGCTGCACATCAATCCAAGGGATCATGGATATTTCGTAGCAGTTCCAGATTTGTACAAATATGGCACCACAGTTAGTCCTCCTTTATCGCCTTAACTTATCTATTGGTCTTTATTTTCATTACATATTTATTGAGTTATCTGCAGGCTTTGGGATAAACCAGAATCCCTTTCTTCTTGCCACTGGAAATGTTCTTTACAACTCATTAAAACCAGTGTTGCGTTCAAATGGACATCCCTTGAGTAAAAGTACTAAATTAGAATATGCTTTCAGAAATCATTTTCATAATTCAAACCATTATCAATGTAGCAGAAGCTTAGTCTCAATCGACAAGAACATTTCTTGATTTAAACATCATTCTATCAAATTATAGTCCGGTTGTTAACGATCAAAAATCACTAAAATTGTTCAAATTTGTGATAGAAGCATGAATTTTGGTATGTAAACAGCATAAGAGATAAAAAACAAAAAACTAGCAAGACCCACTCAGGATTTTGCTTTTTAGTATTAATTTGGAGCAAGCTAATAAATCGGTCAGCGGTATATGTTGCTGGCTCATCAATATTTTTGAATTGACGCCAAACTTAACAAAAATCTATCCTATAATTAAAGAAACACGGTTTTTTAATCATTTAATATAAATTCATATAAAAACTGTTAATGTTTGCCAGTTGAATATTAAAATGTCCTTTTTGAATGAAGATGGTTGGGTTTCCTGTGTTACAAGTAACGCCTGGCAGCTTTGGTTGAATGGCCGAACTGGCAGTCATTTTAAGGCTGTTTTGTGCGATTGTCTTGCTTGTTTCACATGGAATTAGATCAATCTAATCAAAATGCTATGCTAGATTGGAGTTTGTGTGCTTTATGTCAAAAAGAAACGAATGAAAAACTGATAAATCCTCAAAATTCAACACGAAAAAACACCGGATCTGGATACTTAACACTTGCTGTGAATCTTCTCGAGTTTGAAACCCTTAGATGTGTTCCTATAAGTGTACCAATAGCCTCCCTGGAGAATGGAAGTGGAATTGAGACAACTCTTCGAGAAAATCAAGCTAAGTGGCATAAATCTTGCTTCAATAGTTGTAGCAATCTGAAATTAGAAAGAGCAAGAAAAAGAAAACCAGAAAAAGTTACTGTTCTCACTTTATCAAATGACCAATCCATCAAAATTGCACGTACAAGAGCTAGTGATGCTGGAAAAAATACAACACTAGATAAATGTCAGAAAAAATGCTTCTTTTGCAATAAAACTGACGGTAAAATGCATAGAGCGTCCACGTCAACAATAGATAGCAAGGTGAAAGATGCTGCAATGAAGTCAAAAAACTGGCCGCTGGTAGGGAACCTTGCATCAGGGGATATGCATGCACAGGATGTTGATTATCACTTGGCTTGTCTAACATCATTGTATAATACTGCTCGCAGCTCAGAGCGGAAGCAAATGGCAGATCATAAAGTGGAGGAAAAGAATATATCCCCTGAAGCTAATGCATTTGCTGAGCTAACCATGTACATACAAGAAAGCGCATGCGAAGGAAATACCATTTTCTCGTTATCAGACCTTGTAAAGCTCTATGCTACCCGACTAGAACAAGTTGGCGTACACATTCAAGGGAGAGTAAACTCAACAAGACTTAAAGAAAAACTTCTTCATCACATGCCTGACCTTTGCGCTCATACAGATGGTAAAGAGGTACGTCTAGCTTTCAGCAAAGATGTAGGTCCTGCATTAAAGATGATGCAACAAAGTACTGATGTTGATGAGACAGCAATGATCCTTGTTAAAGCTGCTTCATTGATTAGGAAAGAGGTATTGAAAGTCGAAAGCTCATTTGATGGCGAATTTAAAGAGGGATGCCAAAGAAACGTTGCACCAGATAGCTTGATTGCTTTACTAAGCATGATCATGTTTGGTCCAAATATCAAGTCTCAAAACTTACAAAACAGTGATGGAACAAATGCACCACTTACACTGGCTCAGCTTTTGATCTTCAACTGTGTGACAAAACCAAAGGAAGAAATCACCTCCATCACAAGACATAGCACTACGAAAGAAACTCCAGTGCCAGTTTRTGTGGCTATGGTAACTCATGCTGAAACACGTAAAAAGTCTCTTATTGATAAGTTCTACAAGGAATCTACTGAGGAATCTTTCATCATTTTAATGATACGTATAGCTTTTTCATAGGGTACTTTTATTCACGTTGTCATCTCTGATTCTTAGGTTGGACGGGAGAGGCATGGTGTTCAATTATAGCCAAGACTATGATTCTGCAGACCAGGAAAAGCTAAAGCAACTATTCTGTTTGCTGGAATCCAACAAGGTATCACACATGTTACCCCTTTATATCCTTTATATATACCAGGCAAAGTAAATAGGCTCACGTCAAGTGATCACTGCGCCCTATTCACCGTCTTATAGTCAGTACTGTATGATGGCTTACAGCAACCTTTTTTTCCCTGTTGACGTTACCAAAACTGAATGAACGTTAAAGAAAAGTAAACAAATAAAAATAAAAAAATAAATAAATCTAAATTCAGGGAATAATAACGTCCAGATCTTTCGCATTCATTTTAACGATATCGGAGCGGATGTAATCGCGAGAAACACCGAAGCAGTTCGCACTGGTTTACCCACTAGTTCCAATCATTTTATGTTTGATTTAAGGGTCTCTTAATCTCGTGGGCTATACTGTATAATGAAAGATGGACGGCAAGTCTTGAAGTAAGAGACTTCATTGAAAATATCTTAAAGGAAAATGTTCCTACAGACACACAGCCAAGGTGGCTTTCTGGTACATCTTCTGTCGTATATTCCTCTTGCCTTGTAARTATGTTTTATTGCATTTCACTCGGGCACCTCATTTGAATAGCGTATTCGTCTATAGCTATCCATCTCTCCCCTAACTCATCATTTGGTCTGCTCGCGCTTGTGCTAATATCCCTAGTAAAAGTAAGGCTATTAATTCCAAGTTTTTTATGCCGGCAATAATACTATTTACATGTATTTTCTTAGTTCCACTATGTAGCCAATGGCGAGATTCCCGCAGACATGGTGGAAAATTTCCTAAGACTTATAATCAAGAGTTGCAGTAATGGGACGGAGTTATCAACATTCTGGCAGCGACTTAACGACGATCTAGAGGCTGCACTGGAAACATCAACTGAAGTAAGCACCTAATAAGTTCAGTCAGTTAACAACTTTCTTTCCGAGGGTGTACGCTAACCTAAACATTTCTTTGAACTTCCTTTTTTTTATTTTCAGCCTTTGACGTGGCTTAATCCGTGCGTTAACGTAAAATTGAAGGGAGAATTCACCCCTGCTGTTGGCGTAACATGTCAACAAGCATCGACGTTTCCCAGTGTTGGAAACAGGGTAAGAGGAAATTGTTATTATTCCCGATTGGCACCATTTGCTTGCATACACTCATATTTCATCCGTTTCAATGGTTTGTTTCTTAATTTATGTAATAGGAGATGAAGGATCAAATTAAAAGGGAAGTAGACAGTGGCGCGTATCAAACTATGGTCTTCGCCAAAGATGGATCGGCCACGCTACAAAATGTCTGAAAAAGGGTGGCTGGACAAGTGAAAAATGCCAAGGGGTTTAAGATACCCAACGTCTTCATCAAAGCAGCCCTGCTCAGAAAAATTCAAGAAGCCTGTGGTATGCAGCCTACAAATGAGCAAGAAAACGAGGAAGTGGAAGCTGACGTAGTTGACAATTTGCTGGCTGACTCCAAAGAGATAGTCACAAAATTCCGTGATGCAGGTAAATGAGTATTTGTGTTATTTAACATTTAATTAATTAATTAATTTAATATGTATATTTCTTATTTTTCTTATGTTTATCTGTTTATATTATGCATGATGATATGGTGATGGATATATTCATTAATGATCTCATCTACATCAATATAAACAAGAAATAGCGTAGTTTTTTGCATATCAATCCTACAACTTATCTACTTATCAAACACCCGACCTGACCTGAACATTTTGCATCTTCATCAGCAGGCGTGTCAAATCTAGACAAAGCTAGGCCAGCATTCCGTCGTAATACGGTTATTGA